ATTATGAAACAGTTCTTAATTGTATATTCTATTAGTTGTATACCAATTACTAAAGTTAGGTATATATAATGGGTTGTATATTAAGGTAACATATACAAAGTCTTATGAGGCAATAGCTATTTGTATACAATTATTTAATTTTATATAAATTTGTTAAAATCACTCTATAATATTATAATACATTATACAAATTCGTCGATATATACAAAAAATTATGAACATAATAAAATATTGTATATATAAACTTTACGCCCTCAAATATAGAAACATATTTCAAACTTACTATATATACAATTAACAAATCAATATTATATACAATCAGTTTAATCATTAATATATTTTTTTTAAAAAAACAAAAACATGAAATCACAGATGCACATATATAACTATAATATATATATCAAAATTATTGTACATTATACAAATTCCTAGAATTATACAAAAGAAAAAATAGGAACATAATAAAATATTGTATACAAACAGATTACCAAAAAAAATTAAAAGAATATATGATGGTCATATACAGTTTAAAACACAAAATCAATTACACACAAATATTGTATAAAAATTATATACAATTTCGCAAATATATACAATATAATCAATTTATATATAAATATAGGCCAAAGTCATATGCGGCTACTCAAACTTGTTCCGATTATTCATTTAGACACCTCAACTAGACGTACTACCTATTGAACACTTCAACCATTCTGAATTTGAACCATTTGAACATTTTTTTGAGAATAAACAAAAAATAGAGAATGTGTGAAATACACTCGCGCTGACATGTCAATTTGACCAATCAAATATTGACATGTGTTATTTTTTAATCCAAAAAATTATTTAAACATTATATTATAAAGTAAAAAAAATAAAAATTATTTTAAAGTAAAAAAAATGAAAAAAAGAAAAGAGAGAAAAACCTAAACACCCACTTCCCTGCCTTCAACTGGAACAAAACATACATTTCCTCTAACTCCATTAATGGTGACCCCCCCCCCTCCCTGTACAGTTATCTTTAACTCGACAATTTTTTTTCATCAGCTTTTTTATTAATTATAACTTTTTACTCCATCTCGTTTTTTAGGTAGAGAAAGATGGGGAAAAGAATCTCTTCGAAAAATTTATAAATGAAACAAAATGCTAAGATGAAACCACTAGAATGGTGGGGGAAGAAGATAACCATTGATACTAAGAATTTTGAAATCATTAGAATGATGGGGGAAGAAGATAACCACTGGTGTATGGGTATGGGGGATGGGGTGGGGTGGTGGAGTTGATAGAAATAGGGAAGAAGAAGAAGACAACTATTCTTCTTCTCTTTTATTAATTTTTTTTAAAAATTAACTTAGGGGTATAAATTAAGAGAAAAAGAAAAGAAAAATATTATTTTTAATAAATTAACGCGCTCAAGGAAAGTGAATTACACGTTTTTTGCCATGTCAGCATTTTGTGTCTAATAGGAATGACTTTTGAACAAATAAAGTGTTCAATTGACACAAGGATTAGTTGAGGTGTCTAAATGAATTATGCGGACAACTTTGAGTGGCTGGAGATGACTTAGGCCTATAAATATATCTATGTGTGTGTTTATGTGTTTCATAGATTTATCTAAAAAAAATAAAAAATATTTGATTTTGAACTGATATTGTCTTTCTATAGCTTTAGAATTCTTTTTTCGGAGAAATATTTGATTTTGAATGTTTTGCTTCAATCATGGGATTATGTGAATTTATTGTTATCATCTCTTTGTGCTACTGTTACCATTTATTGAAAAATAATTTTTTTTATATTTAATTAAAAAAAACGTTTTATACAAATTTAGAATCACCTAACAAACTAAACTATACCCATGGAATGTAATTTCATAACATTCGTTTGCTATATATGAAATTTTCCCATTTTAAATTACATCAATTCTAACATCTTTTAACTTCAATATAATAAAAAGAATCATAGTTCTTAAATTATATCACTATTTAACTATGCAACCTACCTCCTCAAAAGAAAATAATCCATAAACATTGTTAGTAACATTGCTTCTTCATGAATAAAAATACTTTTACATAGCAAAATAATAAAATATTATATTCAAAAACATAATAATCAATTCAAGAAAATACACATTTTTTGTTTCACTTGTTTCCATTAATTCTATTACTTTATAAATCTCTTATTTTCTTTGATGTATTCGAGCTGCATATTAATGTAACCGAGTTAGTATTTGATGTATCCGAGCCAATATTTAATGTATCTGACCTACATATTATGTATCATAACTAGTTTTTATTGTATTTGAACTACATATTAATGTGTGCGAGACAATATTTAATATATTATGAGCTACATATTAATGTATATGAGCTTCAATTATTGTATTCAATTTTTTAATTTTTAAGGAATTAATATAATTATAACTTATTAAAAATATATTATAATATCATATTAAAACTATTAAAAATTAATATAATTTACACATAATCTATATTAATTGAAGAGATAAAATCCAACTATATGTTTTGAGTTTTACTTTTAAAACACTAATTTTAGGTACTTGATTCACATAAATCTGGTACCAATATATATGTTCCATTCTACCGAGTCTATTGCCCATAGTCTATGCTGAGGCTGGATCCAAAATGACAGAAAAGATTGAATTCGAAATTTCAAAATGACAAAAAATTAGGGATAAAATAAAAAAGGCTAGTGTTTAATTATAGATATTTAAATATTTTTGGTAAATATTATTTTGATGAAAATTTGAGTAAAATTTTATTATGTGTTTGGTCATAATATTTAGAAAATATATTTTACTTTTTTTAAAAATAAATATGCTCATAAGTTTTAAAAATTATGAAAATTAATCGTAGGTTTGTATTACATAGCAAAAATAGAAACGTCGACGTAACAAGATTCATGACTTCCGCAACAAGTCGAATGAATATTCTTTGTAACAAATAACAAGTAGTGTCCATGACACTGGGACAATGTGATAGTTCGGAGTGAGTGCAACAAGCATCATTTCATACTTCGTAAAGTAGACGAAATACATGACTTTATTATCCTAAACTAATTGTTCATCCTTTCATCAACAACCTTATCATCACTTTTATATTTACATAGGGCTCGTTTGACCATGCGATATGGTGTCATGATATGGCATCATAATATGGAATAATTAGATGAAATTGAAGTTATGTTTAGACATGCGATATTAAATTTTTGTGTTGTATACTTTTTCATAAGCATAAGAATCACATAAGTTGTAAAACTATTAAAATAGTCTCAATTGTTTATCCAATCTTACCAAATAGATAAAAATTTACAAAATCACATAATAAATTACTACACAACTATTTGTTATCCATTTAAGTAACTATTTCGTTTAACTTTAATGCATCAACCTTTAATTCAATAAAAATATAAATTAAATATAAACTGTAGTATACTAGTCTTTAATACATCCTCCCACATAGTACGCACAATTCCTTCACATTGAATTGATATTTCTCGATCATATGACCGAAAAGACGAACCAACAATGTTACTTTGAGTTGTAATAAATACAAAATGGTAGAAGTAATAAATTAGGTGTTAGAGTAAATAAAGAGAACAAATTTATTAGTCAATAATCGGTTAATTGAGTTAAAGAAACTATATGTTGGTGAGAGTAATAAATTTTATGTCAGTGAGAATAATAAATTTACAAAAGTAATGATGTCATTATAAATTTTATTTACATATGAAATAAATTATTAGTAGATATAAATATGAAGTTATTTAATTAACAAAATATAAACGTGTGGATCAATTTTCGTATTAAAAGTATCTCAAATCATGATATAAAATTCTCATATCATGATTTTTAGAGAATATAAAATCACATCACATGATATGAAATCAACTTAAAATCATATATTCAAATATTAATTACATCTCATAGTTTTATACTGTGATATAATATCTCATAATTAAACACTTTCTTAATATTTTACTTATCATTATTTTGATGTTTACGAAAAAAATATGTAATAAGGTGTCCACTTTATTTTAGATGAAGGCACAGAAACCTTCTTATTACTTGGGTTCCTCTCATTTTGTGAACCTTACTTTTTTTTTAAAAATAATTATTTTAACCAGAAAATTTGGTCAAAATTTGACTAAAGATAATTTTTAATGTAATTTTATTCTAAAAAATATTTTTATTCTTTTAATTTATATATCTTTTAACTAAAAAATAGAAAACAAATTATTTTATTTTAAAATTAAAAATTATAATTTTTAATTTTTTAATCAAATTATGACCAAATTTCTTGGTCATTTAGCCTTTTTTTTTTTATAAATTCCAAATTCTTTTGCCGTTTTGGAATTTTGTCTCAATTTTCATTTTCTTTTTTAAAATATTGTATTTTAGTGCCACGTAAAAAGGTAAGAAAAAGGTAAATCTTGTAGACGCAAGCCAAAGCGTTTATTTTGTAAGTACCAAAAAAACGTGCAAATGCATAGGGTTAATATGGTACATTCACATAACCAAGGACCATTTGGTCATAAAAAAATATAAAATTTGAAAAAATAAATAAATATATACTAGTACTAAGTTTTGTTTCCAAAATGATTTTTTTTATATGGAAAGTGAAGTTATATATTTAGGTATCAATCTCAACTATTTTATTTTTATAAAACATAAAAATTAAATCTCCAACACAATTTTTAACAAAAATTTATGCCAAAATATAAATTTCAAAATCTAATCCCGCAAAATATTACAAAAATACTTATTCGTGTCCAAAGAATAGCTAAAAAAGATCCAATCTTGGGTGTGGGGGTTTTTGTGGGGGTGGGGGTGGGTGGGGGGAGATGGGGAAGTTTCCAACATGTTGTGAAATTTCTACTCTGTATTGGGACAGCAAAACAGAGTAGTTTTCGGGAAAGATCCAATCTTGGGTGGGGGTAGGGTGTGGGGGGGCTATGGGGTAGTATAATATAAATAGATACAAAATAACAATTATTTTCCTGAAAACTATCATTATTAAATATTTTTCAGGTTCTTCTAAACCTGGGTTTTGTTCATATTAAAGTGAAAAGAGAAGTGGGAAAAAAGCAAAAAAGTAATAAACTTTACTCAGATTTTAGCTCTCTGAGAGACAGTTATTGGTTAGTTCTTAGTCTTTTTCTGTTTCTTTTTGGGTTCAAGTTGTTATGATGAATAAACTCACGTTTACATATTCTAAACGTATACGTTGTGTATTTGCATTTTAGACATTTTGTGAGGTTTCTTGATTATCTGGTTAATGACTTACCATATTTTTGTTGTTTTGCTGGATACCATCAAGTTTATTTTGTTGAAAATTTCTGGTTCTTGGAGTTTGGGGGTGAAAAAAAAGGAATCTTTTGGTTCTTGGGAGTAGCTGCTTTTTTTTTGGCAGTTATGGGATTTCTGAAATGAGTTTGAAGTTTTGAGCTTTGTTGTTTTCTTTGTGTATCTGAAGTTTGTTTGGGAGGAGGTCTTTCTAGGTTGTTTTAGACCCCATCTGTGGGATTACGCTGGGTTTGTTGTTGTTGTACTTTGTGAATCTGAAAACCCCTTTTATACCTGCAATACCTTATATTCACAGTTCTTGTAGAAAATTGTTATAAGTTGTCTTTTATTGCTGTGTCAACTAACTTGAATATAGCATTTTGGATTTGATAATAATTGGAGCTTCCTTTCGTAATCGTGCAGAAAGGGAGCTAAGGAGAAGTTGAGTGCTGCTTGTCAAAGATTTGAACTTTTTTGAATTTTTGAACTGTAAGCTAGATAAAAGTGCAATCTTTTGGAATTGTTTGGTTTCTGGGATCTTTCTGAACAAGAACATCAGGACCTTCAAGACTGAAAAGGGAAAGTTTTCGCGACTTTGGATTGATAGAGTTTCGCCTGAGGGAAGCTGTTAGTAGGTAGAAAAGATGGATAGGGTGTCGAGGATTCTTTTTAGTGTTCTGACAGAACCGCAACGAGGAGGACAGTCTTTCATCACGTCGATTAAGATTGCTGTTTTACCGATTGCGAAAGTGTTTACACTATGCTTCTTGGGATTTTTGATGGCCTCCAAGTATGTCAATATTCTTCCAGCAAATGGACGGAAGCTTTTAAATGGGGTCAGTACTTTTTTATATGATAAGTCTTGTTTAAGAATAATCTCCACTGACTGTTCATTGTTCAATCCTGAAATAGGAATTAGCTTGATGGAGTCCTCAAATATCTTTCTGATAGATGTTATGAAGTTATCAATTTCAATTTTTCTTAATATGGATTGTAACATAATCATCAATTCAGTTTTACGTGAGATGCGACATGTTTGCAGTCCCTAATGGCAAAAGTAGTAAGATTTAGCTTTTGTGTATCTCTAATAGATACTATGACATGGTTTCATGCAGTTGGTGTTTTCACTTTTGCTGCCATGCTTGATATTCTCTCAACTTGGACAAGCCATTACGTATGAGAAATTGCTTCAGTGGTAAGGATTACATTTGATTTGTGCTTATTTTGTACTGCAGTGCCCATTCTATACTATTTTCAACTGATGTTCTTCACTGTATCAGGTGGTTCATCCCTGTTAACATTGTTTTGGCCACCATATTTGGTTCTATTATTGGTTTAATTGTTGCTACGATAGTCCGTCCGCCATACCCTTATTTCAAGTTTACCATTATACAGATTGGCATTGGTAAGTGTTCCATTTATAGCTAGCTTCATAGTTATGAATCACTTATTTTCTGAAGTCTGTTTGATTTTCTATACAATGCAAATTACAGTATCTTAAACAGTGAAACTTCTCTATGTAGCGGTATGAGTTGACTTAACTTGATAGGTGGAATATAAGTTGAATTATTCAGTTAGTTCTTGAATGTTTCCTTATTACAACAACTGTGGCTGCTACACATCACACGTGGCATTGTTAAAACATGCCAAACATGGAGTATCTTATTGTGTTTAGCACGACTGATAGCTTATTTATCACTTTGAATTCTACATGAAAGCGCATTTTAACTCTTAAATATTTATTCTATTTAATGACTTGGCATCTGGAGTCCACTGCCAGATTCGTTAGCTCATGTTTTTTCCATTTCTGTGTTATGCAGGGAACATAGGAAATGTTCCACTTGTTCTGATAGCTGCGTTATGTCGTGACCCATCAAATCCTTTTGGTGACTCTGAGATATGTGCGCGAGATGGAAATGCATACATCTCTTTTGGACAGTGGGTATGTAAGAGTTCAGAGTTAATGTTTTCGTATTCAATGTCAACCGTTTAGATTAATATAATTTTTTAGCACTTTGTATGTTTTACCGCTACTGTTTGTTTTTGCATTGGCCCAACTTAAAATTCTGATTTTGCCTTACTGCTTGACCAGCCAATGGTAATTCCTTTCCACTCTGGTTTTTCTGTTTTAAACCCCCATCCTCTCGCCTCCTGACTAAAAAAATAAAAAGCGCACCTTTGCATGGAAATCCGGCACCTAATACAGAATTTTACATGAAACTTGAAAATGTAGAGAGGTATCTGCTAACCTCTTTGAACTTCAAAAATTGCTTTAGCTAATAAAAGTACTATTTGATAAATGTGTGTAGGTTGGTGCAATTATCCTCTACACCTTTGTATTCCAAATGCTCTCACCTCCTCCTGAAGGTTCCTTCGATGTTGAAGATGCAAACCTTCCTATCAAGGTTCCTAACAAAGAAAGATTACCGAGTCATCCATCAGGTAGTTCTGCAGAGCAAGTTCCATTACTTGCAACAAATGTTGCACCAGCCGACTCTAGTAGTTCAAATAAAGAAAAGGTGAGAGACGTTCTATGCTTAGATTATTTGCGTCTTTACTCATAGTTTGAGGTGTCATGAGGTAGAAATAGTAATCCCTTTAATAGTATTCTAATACTGGTGTTTGACTGTTCATCACTTTGCTTACAGGTTAAACAGTTCTTTAAATTTCTCTATGAGACACTGAAGCTCAAGCAACTTATTCAACCTCCCATTATAGCTTCTGTAAGTTCAATAATCTTGGGATGGATCCATATATGCAGTTTCATTGACCTGCGTGCTCTATCTTATAAATGCTACACTGAGATAAATTATATAATGAATCATCTCTCTCCTTTATCCTGTGGTTTTTTAGTACGCAAACTTCCATTCAGACTATTTTGTCAACTGATGTTATGTCACGTGCTTGAGAAGGCTTTATATTTCATTTTAGGCAATGCTTTCTCGCGGGATTTTAAGGAATATAAGAGATATTATGACCTTATCTGAACTATGATTCTTACTCCTTTGTCAATCAAACTCATTACATATGTCTTTCCCGAGTTGATATATTAAGACTTTCCTTTGAATTGCCAACCTGCTGATGTGTTAATCGCGTACGTGTATACGGTTGCTGTGGACATTTATTCGAGTAATTTTGAGATATCAAGAGCAAAATACTCTGCATAAATGTTTCAACTGTTCTTCAACCTATTAAAAAAAACTGTTCTTCTGATTAAAAGACTTGAGTTGTGGGATATTTTTGGGGGCCAAGGAGAAGGTGGCATGCATAGTTCACTTATATAGCTGTCTATTAGAGCACTTTTTTTAGTAGATTGTCAATTAGAACAACTATTGTGACAGTTGCTAAATTGTGTGTTCTCTCAACAGATCATAGCGATTATCATAGGATGTGTGCCGGTCCTGAAACGCCTCATCTTTACTTCTGATGCTCCACTTTACTTCTTCACTGACAGCTGTTTAATTCTTGGGTAAGTTTTATTCCATTGTGGAATAAGTTAAAGATCAACATAAATGCCATTCAGCATATGTAAAATATTATCCTTTCCAGTTACTGAAATAGATGAGACATGTCACCTAATGGTCCTGCAGCACGCCGCCTTAAATTGCAGTGGTGGAGCCAGGATTTTTACTCGGGGGTTCAGAATCTGAAGAAGTAAATATACGAACTAGTCGAAGAGGGTTTGATATCTACTATATAAAAAATGATTTTAATCATGAATAAATGGTATAATTTTTGCGAAGGGGGTTCATCTGAACTCCTGACTACAGGCTGGCTCCACCCTGCTTAAGAGTCTGCCTTTAGATTTCTTATGTCAGTACATGATACATATTCCTTTTGTGATAGCGTACATCAGCATTTATTGCTAAAGAATTGGATTCGCGTATCTGCTTTTATTTATTTCTGTTGTAATAGAATATTTTGACTTGGCTGAATTGACATATGCAATAATACTATTCTTCCAGTCTACTGGTGGAAATGTTTTCATATGTAAATGTTGATTAAATGTTGTCCTATTTCTTGTTATCAGGGATGCCATGATTCCCTGCATATTGTTGGCCTTAGGAGGCAATCTCGTTGACGGTAAGTAACAATTCTTTGTCTTCCTTTGAACTTTATTTTTCGTCATTTTTTTGTGGTAAATCTTGTTATTCACTGAGTATGTTTAATTCGTAGGTGCTCCCATTTACTGCCTTGATATTTGAATCTCTGCAGGGCCAGGACCTGGAAGTTCAAAAATTGGTCTTAAGACAACTGTTGCGATTGTGTTTGCACGGTTGTGTTTGGTTCCTCCAACTGGACTCAGTATTGTCATGTTAGCTGATAAGCTTGGCTTCCTTCCTGCTGATGATAAAATGTTCAGATTCGTTCTTCTTCTTCAGTATTCAATGCCCACATCCATACTTGCTGGTAAAATACCTTCCATAACATGTCAGACATACGACTTCCAATGGGAAATGACTCTGCCATAGACACATTTTCATCTTTTACTTTATCCTCTCTGTATTTGAAATGTGCTGTTTTGATAAAAATTTTACGCTGGACAGGTGCGGTTGCCAACTTGAGAGGGTGTGGGAAGGAGGCAGCTTCAATCTTGTTTTGGGTTCATATATTTGCTGTGATCTCTATGGCTGGATGGATCATCCTCTACCTCAACATACTCTTTTAAGTTGTTAGGATCAATACTGTTGCTACAGAGAAGGTAAAAACGAGATATCGGATGGGAAGCTTTTTATTCTTGTCGAAAAGCTGATCATTGTTTGTAATCAGAGGGAGAGGAGATGTATCGATTATACGTAGGAATTGTATATCTACTACATCTATCTGTTCTTGGTTTCTTCTATTATATACCAAGCTTATGCTACTTTGAAACTGGCTTATGTCAAAGGAGCATTTGGTGAAAGACAAAAGATGAGAGGCTTTATGTTCATGTGAATAAGAATAAGTAAATGGGATTGTTTGTGGCACTTTTAAGCAGAATACAACTTCTTCTGAGTTATCAGAAAAATCAATACCTCCTTAAAAGAATGTCAAAAATCACGTTGATGATTGATGAGATGGGTGAATTTCATATAAGATTTAGATAATTCTTCTTCTCTTGAGCTATCTTTTGAAATGTGAGTTAGGCCTAAGATCTAATTTGACATGGTATCAGAGGACTCATCTTACTCAATGTTGGGTTCTCCAAAAATTAAATTGTCCACGCATTAGATTCTTAAGTACAGGGTTCATTCAATGTTGGGTCCCGAAAAATCAAGCACCGAGCTTACTCAAAGTTGGGGTCTCTAAAAATTATATTGTTCACACATCAAGTGCTAAATACGGGACGACAAAAATTTCACATAGGTGATTAATGAGATAGTGAACTGTTTAATGGTTCAAACACTAACTTCTTATTATTTGAAACGAATAAAATAATCCTACAAAAATCTCTACTTTATTTTCAAAAATCTCTTACATATATTATAATAAACCTATCGGTAGATTTGACATAAAACTTTTTTTTAGGAGTTGTAATGAGCAATAAAAACAATTTTTTTCAAAGTTAATTAACTATCTAAAACTTTAATATGCATAATTAAAAAGAAAATCTCTTTTTTAATGGAATAGTTAAGATTACGTAATTAATAACTTTAAAATGCTTCATAGTGTCAACTTAAAAGGAGGAAAGTTAGTTAGAGACGTTATACGCACATTCTTTTTCTTCACTATTTGATCCAAATCCCATTTTTGACTTTTTTTTTCTTCCAAATATTTCTTCAAGTTTTTTGACAAATTTGAAGAAATGGCTTACAGAAGGAAGCAGGGGATCAGCCGATCCTCCACTTTTCAGGAAGAAAGCATTTTCCGTTCACCGGCGGAACCGAAACAGGGGATCTCTAGATCCTCCACATTTCATCATGAAACTGCTACTTCCCGTTCCCCCGGAGATCCTTTTTCTTCCTCTTCCTCTTCTTCCTCTTCGTCTCTCGCTGCTCAAGCCATTAGAGCCTCAGTCGCTCATAATCGTCGTGCTTCTCAGGTCCTTCATAATCACTTTTTTTTTTTCAAAATGTTTGATACGATTCACGAATAATGTTTAACAATTGAAGCAAATTTGCCTGATTTTTTGAAATCGTGTTTGATAAATTTTGAGGTAGCAATTGATTAATTGTATATTGATGGATCAAAATCAGGATGCTCTTTCGAATGGATATAGTGAAAATGAGGCAAATGGATTTTGGGGAGTTTTAGCAAGGAAAGGCAAAGACATTCTTGAAGAAAGTCAGGTGATTATTTTAGCCCTACTTTTTTCTTCCCCCTTTCGAGGGGCGGAGCTACGTGGTGTGAAGGGGTTCAATTGAATCTCCGAAATTAAATTGTGTAAATATAAACTCTTTTATGTATATATACAAATTGTTAAATTCCCTTGACATAAGTGTTAGGTGTGACATTCTTGCTTCTTCAAAAAGAACGAATACTCAGAATTTCTGGCTTCGACTCCTTTCGTGAGAATATGCAAGGAAAAGCATATATGAAACTTAGTGTTTTGGTTCATGAGCTTCCTATCTAATCATCCTCTTCAAAATCATCATGTTCTATTGCTCGGATTCTCAAAAAGATTTACCGCACTAATACAAGCATTTTTGGAGGATGAGACACGAAAACAATATCATTCATGAAGAGTCAGAGCAATATAGATTTTAGGTTATGAGTATTGAAGTTGATTTTCACCAGAATAGTATATGGTTTCTCTGTTTTTCTCTTATCAGATACATGCTCTGCATCAACATAATTATTTTTTCTTGAATTTCAGGAAGGACGTACAATTCTTGAGACGTCGCAAGATCATGTCTCCAACGGACGTAACCCATGGCAGATGCAAACAACTCGGCCACAAACACAAACTGTTCATGAAGATCAATTAAAAGCTTCTCGCGACGTAAGGTGGCAACTTGTGTGATGATATATGATGTCGTCCTTGTAACATTAATCAGTGGCATAGCTACATTTACCCAATGATGGTCACTTGAAGACCCTTCGTTGAAAAAGTTAAAAACAACTTATTAGAGATATATACTAAAGTTTTGAATATCCTTAGCGTAATTTCTAGCTTTGTCACTGACATTAAGGATGTGAAAATATTATATGTACAACGAAAGATTGAAATTTTGTTGGTAATATTTCCTTGCTGGTGATCAAATGCATTGTTGTCCTGTTTTTTTGGTTTCAGGTGGCAATGGCAACTGCAGCAAAAGCGAAACTGCTACTACGAGAGTTAAAGACAGTTAAAGCTGATCTTGCTTTCGCGAAGCAACGTAGCTCTCAGCTGGAAGAAGAAAATAAAATGCTTCGAGAGGCTCGTGAGAAGGGAGACAACCCTGCAGATGATGACATGGTACTTCTTTTTTCAACTATTACTACTAATTTTGTTCTGATTTCATCTTCGTAAACCTCCATTTTATCGTACAAGTTCTCTACTGTGATAACTGCACTAGCAATCTTGAATTCAGCCTGTTAAAACATAGAGTTAGACGCACGTAAAACTATCACCTTTCCGCGAATTTCATACCTCAACTATCACTCCCTTTGTATTAAAACTCACCTGAATGCAGACTTCATACCCTTCCGTGAGTTTCATCTTTTTCACGAGGTTCATACCTCAACTATCACTCTCTTTGTATTAAAACTCACCTAGATGTAGAGTTGGTCTACCCGTGCCTGTTGTTTATAGAGAACAAATATTTGGCCAACTCAACATCAATGTGTGTTTTAATACAAAAAGAGTGCTAGTTTACGTAGGTTTAGAAAACAATGAATAGTTGAAGTATGAGACTCGCAAAAAAGTGATATTTTTTAGGTGTGTTTCTGACCATCATGTCAAAAACAAGAACATAATAGAGATTAAGTTAGGGACTTGTTTAGGTACATTATGTGAACAAACAACATAAAGTAGGACTTGCATCAAGGGGGTTCGTTATCTACTGTACATACATTCCGATCAATTAATCATGTTTCTTTGTTTTGGTGCAATATTTCAGATACGGCTACAACTCGAGACACTATTAGCAGAGAAGGCTCGTCTAGCACACGAGAATTCAGTATACGCTCGTGAGAATCTCATCTTAAGGGAGATTGTTGAGTACCATCAACTAACAATGCAAGATGTTGTGTATTTAGATGAAGGATTTGAAGAAGTAACAGAAGTTTCACCAATACCTGCTGTTTCAAGAATGCTCTCTGTTTCACCTCCATTATCACCTAAATCAATTCATCATTCATCACCATCAAGAAACTCATCATTCACAAATTTAACAACTCTTGGTTCACAACAAGTAAATACAAATGAAGAAATATCAACAACTACTTCTTCAAAGGGGAAAGATTTGACAAGAAAATGATGATCTAACTATGTTGCTCCTCCAAGTGCCAATCATGTTTTTTTTCTCTTTCATCCTTAATATTTTGTCCAAGTATTATTTCTTTCTTGTCCTTTGTATTTGGTCGATTTTTGACACATCTATTAAGAAAATCATTTAATACTAAAGCAACCGATATTTCACTATCAAAAGTGTGATACATATCTTCTGTTGATAGGGCATCTTCATACCCTTGGATCTAGAAATGATACGTTGAAAGAATCTGTTAGGTAAAACTTCTTTAAAAAAAATTTAAGAAAATTATATATTTAATGTCCCTTGATGATTTTTCTAATTCTCATTATTGGTTTCTCATTATTGGTTGGTAAAATATAATGAATTTTTTTAATAATATACAAGGATATAATGGGTTGTTACTTGGCTATATTTGTCAAATAGTCAATATATAAATATGTTATTTAATTTGGTTTCAGTTTGTATCTATCTTTTTTGACTGTGTATAAATAGACACTTAAATTTAATATAAAATTAAATAAATTTAACACATTTGTCTTATGTTGCATCCTACATGAAAACTTGTGTTTAATGTCATGTAGGACGTGTATGTCTACTTCTTCAATTTTATACAAATTTAAGTGTTTACTTGTGTACACTCAAAATTAGAAGGACATAAATATTATAAAGTTAAGTTAAAAGACATATTTCTGTATTATACCTAAATTTTATATCGTGAAATCAAATTAATTTGACATAATTTAATAATAATGAAACCAACGAGCACAAACATTAATTCTGCGAAGGCCAATGCCCCACTTGTTGTACAATAGAATAGTAATTTACTATTTATTTCATATGCTCATTAGTTTTATTGTATTTTGTATAATATAATGAATAAACATGACCCTTAACTTGGTTTCAACGGATAACTATGTCTTTCAATTTTGAGTATGCATAATTAGACCCTTAAATTTGTATAAAATTGAATAAGTACACGCTCATGTTCTACATGACATAATAAAATAGGACACAAAAGTTTCATGTAGGGTGTCATGTAGAACAAATGTGTCTATTTGTTCAAGTTTATACAAGTTTAAGTGCCTACTTGTGCACACCTAAAATGAAAAATCATAATAGTCAATTAACGTCATGTTAAGGATCATGTTTATGTATTACACTTATTTGTATTATTCGAAAGCTCCTACCTATGTTATATCTCTTAGTAACTATGAGAATGTTAGTAGGCAAGTGAGTGATGTCTTATCTTTCAGTAAGATATGTTGATGCATTGTATCTGTTGCCCGATTCTCATATTTTACCGATGATAGTAAAATTTGTATGGTAATTGACCTATTATACAACCTTTGTTATTCCTCGTTATTGGCACATTAGTTGGTTATGGTTATTGTTCCTCTTTTTGATATGTTATATTAAGTTTCTTTCTTATTTTTTTATATACTCTTTAGTATTATTTTATTAGCTTCTTTGATGTATGTTATTTAAGTTTAATTTTTTTTTAAAAATAGTGATAAAGTCGAAATGCAACATGTTGTTCTCCTATCAAACATCTAAGATCAATTTTAGGTTTAGGCTTTAATTAAGACTAGGCAATCCATCTAAGATAT